CTTTTTTTTTTTTTTTTTTTTTTGAGGTGGGGGTCTCACTCTGTCACCCAGGCTGGAGTGCAATGGTACCAACACAGTTTACTTACTGCAGCCTCTACCTCCTGGGCTCAAGTGATCCTCCCACCTCAGCCTCCCAAGTAACTGAGTGTGTAGAGACAGAGTCTCACCATGTTGCCCAGACTAGTCCCGAACTCCTGGGCTCAAACGATCCTCACACCTCAGCCTCCTAAAGTGTTGGGATTGTAGGTGTGAGCCACTGTGCCTGGCTTCTTCTTATTAGTTTTGTGATTTTGAGCACGTGACTTTCTTTCTCTGAGATTCAGTTTCCTTCCCCCCACAAATGGGATAACAAGAGTACTCACCTCATAGAGTTGTTGCAATGAAATGAAAACGGGTATTTCACGTGCCTGATGTGTGGCATATAGTAACTGTTCTATAAATGGCATTAGGATTATTGTTGTTATTTGTAAAGTACTTCAATAAAAGCATTTTTCTTCTGTCATTCATGTGCCATACATTATGTTTCCCATTGGACATAGCCCAGACTGAGACAGCTCCAGCAATCCCCGGTGACTTAGGTCTTGGAGTCTAGTCGGGGAGACAAACACACTAATAGTGAGAGCCAAGAGTGGTGTGTGATGGAGGAATCCCACAGGCCTGAGAAAGCCCAGAGAAAGTGCCTGATCTGGGGCCGGGGAGAACAGAGAGGCTTCCTGGAGGAGGAAATGTCTAAGCTGAGACCTAAAGGACCAATAGGAATCTGTCAGGAGGGGAGAAAAGGCCCCAGCCCTACCCTTCTGGATTCCCAGTCAGTGGAAGAGACAAATGCACTTCAAGGCTGTTTGTTTTCCTTTTCCACCCAATAAACTCCTATGCATGCCTCAGAACCCTGCCTCACTGGCTCTTTCTCTGTGAAGACTTGTGACTTAACCTGGGGTATAGCTGAGATCAGAGGCATCTGTAGGAGGGAGCAGAACGGCATTCCAGGCAAGAATAGCCGTGCAAAGGTAGGGAAGCAGGAGAGTGATGCTTCTGAAGAACTAGAAATCCAGTGTGTTAAAACATAGAATACTGGCAGAGCATGGTGGCTCATGCCTGTAATCCCAGCCCTTTGGGAGGCCAAGGCCAGCAGACCACCTGAAGTCAGGAGTTTCAGACCAGCCTGGTCAGCGTGGTGAAACCCCGTCTCTACTAAAAATACAAAAATTAGCTGGGTGTGATGGCGCATGCCTGTAGTCCCAGCTTCTCAGGAGGCTGAGGCACAAGAATAGCTTGAACCTGGAGGTTGCAGTGAGCTGATGTTGTTCCGCAAAGCTCTAGTCTGGGCGGCAGAGGGAGACTCCATCTTAAAAGCAAAAACCTGGAATACAAGACAACAAATGAGCCAGAGGCTGCAGAGTGGGAGGAGCCAGCAAGTGAAGGGCTTTGTGATTTTGAGCTGTATCCTGAGGGCAAACGGGTGAAAGAGAAGTTGAAAGGCAGTACCTGCAGAAGCCCAGGAAGGCCTCACAGAGTAGTGGATGTAGAAACTGGCCTCCAGACAGGGGAGGTTCTGGGCAAAGGCCGGAGGTGTGACAGGGCCTGAATCATGCAGGGCCTCCCTTGGGAGGCTGTGAAGCTTTGTCTTTGTCTGGGGGCTCTGGGGAGCTATGGAAGGGTTTTGAGCAGGGAGGGGACATGATCTGATTTATGTTTTAGAAGATCTCTCTGGCTGCTTTGTGGGCTATGGATGAAGGCATGTTTCTCGGTGTTAGCATGTTTACCTGTCCCCAGCTTGAGGGCCATTCCTGTTAAGCTAGTGGGATGAGAACAGAATAGGAAGTGTGTGTGTGTGTGTGTGTGTGTGTGTGGCAAAGGGGTCTGTGTGCTGGATATAAATCACTCTCTGGCCTTAAAGAGTCCCAGACTGGCTAGGCCGGGTGTGATGGCTCACGCCTGTAATCCCAGCACTTTGGGAGACCAAGGGGGGTGGATCACCTGACATCAGGTGTTAGAGACCAGCCTGGCCAACATGAAGAAACCCCCCCTCTACTAAAACTACAAAAATTAGCCCAGCATGGTGGCGTACATCTGTGATTCCAGCTACTCAGGAGGCTGAGGCAGGAGAATTGCTTGAACCCGGGAGGCGGAGGTTGCAGCGAGCTGAGATCACGCCACTGGACTCCAGCCTGGGTGACAGAGCGAGATGCCACCTAAAAAAAAAAGTCTCAGATTGCTTGGGAATAGTGGGGCTGGACACAGATATTCAGCCCCCAGTGTGTTCACTGAGACAGTGCTCAGGGCTGAGAAGGGAAGTGGAGGGGTTGGGTGGATGTACCTAGGGAGGAAAGAGGACTGTGCTGGAGGTCACAGAGGAGGAGCCACTGAAACAGGGTTCTGAAGCATGCGTAGGAGTTTATTGAGTGGGAAAAGGGAACAAACATCCTCTATGAAGACATGAGGGTGGCTGGAGTATCTCAGGATCCCTGTCTAGGTTTGTCTGGTCTGATGGCACTTTTGACTGGGAGGTAATGAGAGCCAGAAGCAGGGGAAGGGGGGCCTTGAATGTCACACTGAGCAGCCTGGCCTTCCCCTTGGGGTCGATGGGGAGCCACAGGAGGTTTTGAGCAGGAGTAGGGCATTGCCCTCAGGCTGGGTGGGGGGCAGACTGGAGACTTGGTGAGCTGATCTGGCAGGAGAGAATGAGTTCCTAACTAGGGCAGGGGCTTAGAGGGGTGGAGAGGTGTAGAGAGTGCAATAGATGTTTGTGGAGTTTCACTGATGAGGCTTGGGGACCAACTGGGTAGATGTTGGGGTGAGGGAGGAGTCTGGGAGACCTCCAGACCCCCCTTGATGATCTTCTGTTCTTACCAATGCCTGTCACTTCTTACCTATGAGAACCAACATCTTCCTGTATCTATTATAAAATAACCGGCCAGGTGCAGTGGCACACGCCTGTAATCCTAGCACTTTGGGAATCTGAGATGGAAGGATTACTTGGAGCCCAGGAGTTAGAGACTAGCCTGGACAACATGGTAAGACACTGTCTCTACAAAAAAATTGCAAAAGATTAGCTGGGCGTGGTGGGTGGTGGCATGTGCCTATAGTCCCAGCTACTGGGGAGGCGGAGGTGGGCAGATCCCTTGAGCCTAGGAGGCTGAGGTCGCAGTGAGCCGAGATTGCACTGCTATACTCCAGCCTGGGCAGCAGAGCGAGACCCTGTCTCAAGAAAAAAAAAAGATAAACAACCAACCCACTAACTTTGTATTATGTTCACACTTTACCTAGTCCTAGACTTTTTTTTTTCTGAGACATAATCTTGCTCTGTTGCCCAGGCTGGAGCCCAGTGGCTTGATCTTGGCTCACTGAAGCTTCTGCTTCCCAGGTTCAAGTGATCCTCGTACCTTGGTTTCCTGAGTAGCTGGGATTACAGACATGTACCACCACGCCTGGCTAATTTTTGTATTTTTAGTAGAGACGGGGTTTCTCTATGTCAGCCAGGCTGGTCTCAAACTCCTGGCCTCGAATGATCTGCCCTGGAATTACAGACGTGAGCCACCACGCCTAGCCCAGTCCTAGTCCTTATAACATCTTCATGAATAAGAGGCATCCTGCTTTTGAGCAGGAGGGGTTTGAGATCAGATTTCTGTCTGGAATGGTATGGGGGTTGGGTAGAAACAGACCTTCAATTTAGGGAAGAACTTGGGGAGGCAGATGGTGAACTGGCCTCCGGCAGGCACTTAACAAAGATGTACTTGTGATTCCAGGAACAGAGCTTTATAGTGTGGTTGAGGCTGGTAAGATTCTGGGAGGTCTGGTTGTGTGGCCCTGCTGAATGGTTCTTCTGCGTTCCCCAGAGCATGGGTGGGGTCTGTGTCTGATGTTCTTGGGGGCTCTGGTCAGAGCCTGAGGGAGAGCTTCCAGCTTTAGTATTCTTTCTTTTGTGTATTTCTTCATTCCGTCATCCAGCATTTCCTGAGCCTTTGCCAAGCCTAGGTCTGGGCAATGCTGCAGAGGGAATTAGGCCCACATCCAGGCCCTGCCCTATGGGCTTTGTAGGCTGCAGGGAGACAGACCTGGACATAGATGTTCCTGGCCCAGAGGAATGAAGGTCATAATGGGATGTGAGAACCCTGGAGAGGGGCACCTAACCCAGCTAGGGGGCATCAGGAAGAGGGCTGGTGGTGGGAAGAGATAATATTTTGCAGACAGAGGGAGAAGCTTGTACAAAGGCCCAGCTCCTATTAGAGCTGTAAGCAGTGGAGTGATTTGAGACAAAGGAAGGGTCTGAACAGCAGGCTAGGGAACTGGACTTTCTCCTAGGGTGCTAGGGAGCCATGCAGGGCTTTGGGGCAGGGGAGGGATGGGGCCAGATGTTGAGTTGGGAAGATCAGAGACTCATGTCAGGGCAAGAAGGAGGCTGGGTGAATGGTTCTGGTGAGACAGGATGAGGCCAGGCAGCCAGGGCACACCGTGGCTGTAAGCTGGCAGGCTGGAGTCATCACCTCGTTGAATGTTCACTCCAGCCTTTGTGGGTGGGGGGAATTATCTCCATTTTACAGTCATGGAAACTGAGGCTCAGAGAGCCCATGGAACTGGCCCAGGATCACCCAGCCATTGGCAGTGGTGGCTGAGTGTCTCCAGGATCTAGATAGACACACTCAGGGTCATGGGGGAAAGAACTGGCCCAGGGTCCTCCAGCTGGTCATGGGCAGAGCCAGAGCCAGAGCGAGAGCCTAGGCCTCCTAATTTCCCTCACCCAGAGGACTCCCCTGAGCTGCCTGTTCAGGAGCCTTCTCATGTGGGATGTGGAATGAGAGGAGCTTCCAGAAACAGGACTGGCAGAGAATAAGACAGTGCCAGTGTTAGGGGTAGTGGCACTCAGCACGACGATATGTGGGCCTCGTTGTCAGCATTTCTTTTTTTTTTTTGAAGCAGAGTTGCACTCTTATCGCTCAGGCTGGAGTGCAATGGTACAATCTCAGCTCACTGTAACCTCTGTCTCCCAGGTTCAAGAATTCTTGTGCCTCAGCCTCCCAGGTAGCTGGGATTACAAGCATGTGCCACCACATCCAGCTAATTTTTTGTATTTTTAGTAGAGACGGGGTTTCACCATGTTGGCCAGGCTGGTCTCGAACTCCTGACCTCAAGTGATCCACCCTCCTTGGCCTCCCAAAGTGCTGGGATTACAGGCATGAGCCACCCACCCCCCTCCATTGTCACCATTTCATGTGCATTATTGCTCCTCATGAGGTTGCAGTCAGATGTCAGCTGGAGCTGCAGTCAGCTGAATGTTCACCTTGGCTGGACATCCAGGAAGGTCCCTCCCAGGGCTGGCAGTTGATGCTGGCTATCCGCTGGAAGCTCAGTTGGGACTGTCAGCTGGAATGCCTGTGTGTGGCCTTTTCTTGTGGCTTTGGCTTTTCTTTTCTTTTCTTTTTTTTTTTTTTTTTGAGATGAAGTCTTGCTCTTGTCCCCTAGGCTACAGTACAATGGCACTATCTCGGCTCACTGCAACCTCCACCTCCTGGGTTCAAGGAGTTCTCCTGCCTCAGCCTCCTGAGTAGCTGGGATTACAGGCGCCTGCCACAACGCCCAGCAAATTTTTGTATTTTTAGTACAGTTGGGGTTTTGCCACGTTGGCTAGGCTGGTCTCAAACTCCTGACCTCGTGATCTGCCTGCTTTGGCCTCCCAAAGTGTTGGGATTACAGGTGTGAGCCACCGTGCCTGGCCAGCTTTGGTTTTTCATAGCATGACAGCTGTGTTCTGAGAAGGAGTGTTCTACGAGGCCCAGGTGAAAGGTACAAGTCCTCTTATGATCTAGCCTTGAAAGTTTCAGAATTTCTGCTGTTTTTTAATTGGTCAAGCAAGTCACTAAGGCTTTTCCCAGATACAAGGGGTAGGGAATTACCTTTCAGTGGCAGGAGTGGCCTATAAGTTTGAATCCACTACAGTACCACTATATTCCACTTTACAGATGAGGAGACCAATCCAGAGAGGGTGGGTTACTTGGCCAAGATCACACAGCTAGTAGCTATTCAGTGACAGAGCCAAGACATAAGCTCAGGCAGTCTGGTTCCAGAGTTTGTGCTTGTAGCCATCACAGTAAACAGAGGTGAGACTCTGGATGGGGACAGAGGGGAACTATGCTGCTCCAAGGTTAGGCCTCTCTTCAGGGGGAAGAAACTGGACTCTTCTCTTGAAGCTCTGTTCAGCAAGGGCCAGGGGACTGTCACAGAGGTGCTTTTCTCACTGGGATTATGACCTTGACCCTCCAGCCTGGACATGTCTGAAGCTCAGGCATGGACAGGAAGAGAGAGGCATCAGGAATACTGTGGCTTCTGCTCTGTGTTGCCACTGGGATGGGGTTTTCTCTCTGCACTTTATTTTCCCTTCTGAATGGTGAGGATGTTCATTCTGATCTCAGGTGACCTTTCTAGAGGTCTGGAATATTGTGATTCTTTCTCTGGGCACCTGTCCCTCCGGCTGTCACAGCCCTTGACTGTCCTAGGTTATGAGACTGGGAGCCCCTCCAAGGTGGGGTCCAGATCTGACTCATCCTTGAGCCCCCAGCATCACCTGGAGCAGGGTTTGGTGTACAATAGTGGCTGCAGGGAGGTGTGGGGAAAAGGTCCGCTTTAGAGCTTAGTCCCTCTGTGCTCACCTCCCAGCCCCAAGCCCCCAGCACCGGATCCTGCTGGACTTCCTTTTCCTGGACACAGAGTGCACGTATGACTACCTGTTTGTGTATGACGGTGACTCCCCGCGAGGGCCGCTGCTTGCCAGTCTGAGTGGGAGCACCCGGCCTCCGCCCATCGAAGCTTCCTCAGGCAAGGTTAGTGGGGATGGGGCTGTGGGTAGATAAACCAAGGGAAATGGAAGAAGAAAGGAAGGACAGAGAGTCAGTAAGAGGGCATTCGAGAGCAGAGCACAGGGACAAGGGAAGGTGGAGAGAGGCAAAGGAAGGAGATGAGGCTCTGGGTCCCCCAGGATAGAAGGGGACAGGAGTGGGCCACCCTCCCAGGCCAATCCCCAGGCTCTGCCCACCTTACCCAGCCCACCTTGTGCTTGCAGATGCTGCTGCACCTCTTCAGTGATGCCAACTACAACCTACTGGGCTTTAACGCCTCATTCCGCTTCTCCCTGTGCCCGGGTGGCTGCCGGAGCCACGGGCAGTGCCAGCCGCCGGGTGTGTGTGCCTGTGAGCCGGGCTGGGGGGGTCCTGACTGTGGCGTGCAGGAGTGCTCAGCCTACTGTGGCAGCCATGGCACCTGCGCCTCGGTGAGCTGGTCCCCAGCCCTGTTTCCCCTGGGGCCCTGATCTGTGAGCACACTCTCCACGCCTATCTCCTAGGTCTGACCTTGCTCCTGCATGAAACTCCCCCCACCACCCCACCCTGCTCCATGATACCCACTTCCCTCTCCTTCCAGAGCTTGCCCCCAACCTGTTACTCCGACCCCACCCCACCTTCACCTGCAGGCCCTCCCCTGCTGAGCGTACCCCACTCTCACCTTTGAACACCACCCTCCTTCCTCCAGCCAGGGCCAACTCCGTCCTCCCATCCAGCCACTCTGTGTGGCCTTGGACCCCCTGCCATGACTTCCAGCCTCGCACCGCTGACCTTTCGCTGAAGTTGTGCACACCCAGCTTTCAATCTGGATTGCGCTTTGAGCCCTCCCCACCTTGACCTCCCCAGATCTGAGCTCTTTCAGTTCAGGCTGAATGTCAACCATGCTGTTTGTCTTCTCCAGCCTGCCTTCTTTCTGTCTTTTCTCCTTTTTCTCTGTGTGTCTTTTCCTTTTTCTGTTGGTCTTTTTTCCATCTGTCTGCTTCCTTCTGGTTGTGTCTCTTTGTCTCTTGTTTCTGTCTGACAATTTGCCTTTCCCCTCTTCCTGTCTCTCTCTGTCTCCTTTTCTTTCTCTCTCTTTCCATTTCCATCCTCTCCCTTCCTATCTATCTCTTTCTCTCTCCCTTTGTGCCTGTCTCATTCTGCCTCTTTTTGTCTTTGTGTCTCCTTTGTCTCTGTCCTTGTCTCTCTGTCTCTTATCTCTGTCTTTATGTCTCCTTCCCCACAGCCCCTGGGACCATGCCGCTGTGAGCCTGGCTTCTTGGGACGTGCCTGTGACCTGCACCTGTGGGAGAACCAGGGGGCTGGCTGGTGGCACAACGTGAGTGCTGGGGACCCTGCCTTCTCTGCCCGTATTGGAGCAGCTGGCGCCTTCCTGTCCCCACCGGGGCTGCTGGCAGTTTTTGGAGGTGAGCAGATAGGGCGAGTATCTGGGGTCTGGAGGCCTGGAAGCCTGTGGCCACATCATGAGACTGTCCACCCCTCCACAGGCCAGGACCTCAACAATGCCCTGGGTGACCTCGTCCTATACAACTTCTCCGCCAACACCTGGGAATCCTGGGACCTGAGTCCTGCCCCGGTATGACCCCTCCTCTGCCCTGGAGGAGCCTGTACACTCAATCAGACCCAGCTAGGGACCCCCAGACTGACCCCCTATCACCCAGTGCTCCCCCAGTTCCCGCAGCTTGATGTAGGAACCTACTTCTCCCTGTTTCTGCCTTTTCTCTCTGATTTTCTTTTTTCTTCTTTTTCTTCCTTTATCTGCCTTTGTGTATCTTACTTTTCCACGTGTCTCCTGTCGCTCGATCTGTCTCTGTTTTCATCTGTCTGACTTTTGGGCTTCTGTGTTCTCCATTTCTATGTCTCCATTTCTCTGGGTCTGTTTCTGTCTGCCATTTGTCCCTCTAACTCGGTCTTCTTGCCTCTTCCCTCTCCTATTGTGTTCTGTTTCTATGAATCTGTCTCTTCTTTTCTCTTTCTACCGGTCTCTACCTTTCTCTTTGTCTCTGTCTTTATCTCGCCTTCTCTTTGTGTTTCTCTGGCTCTGCATCTCTCTGTCTGAGCCTGGCTCTGGCTCCCTTGCTATGTCTTTACCTCTGTTTCTTGTCTGTTCCTCACAGGCTGCCCGTCACTCCCATGTGGCCGTGGCCTGGGCCGGCTCCCTGGTGCTGATGGGTGGTGAGCTGGCAGACGGCTCGCTCATCAACGACGTGTGGGCCTTCAGTCCACTGGGCAGGGGCCACTGGGAGCTCCTGGCACCACCTGCCTCCAGCTCCTCGGGGCCCCCAGGCCTGGCAGGTCATGCGGCTGCCCTGGTGGATGATGTCTGGCTATATGTGTCTGGAGGCCGCACCCAGCACGACCTCTTCTCCTCTGGCCTCTTCCGTTTCCGCCTTGACAGCACCAGCGGGGGCTATTGGGAGCAGGTGATTCCAGCAGGTGGACGGCCCCCTGCTGCCACCGGCCACTCCATGGTATTCCATGCCCCGTCCCGTGCCCTGCTGGTCCATGGTGGACACCGGCCCTCCACTGCCCGGTAAGTGACCTGTCCCACAACCCATGCCCCACAGGCCAGGCCCAGGTCAACACCATAGGCCTTTAGTCTTTAGAGGTCTTTGCCCACTATTGGACTCCTGTGGTCTTTCAATCACTCCTTCCTTTGTGTATTTACTTATTCCTTCATTCACTCATTCACTCACTCACCCACTCATGCATTCTCTGATGTTTTATTCAATGTCTGGGTGAATTGCCTCCCACACACTCCCACCCATGTATCCATTCAACAGAGCCCTGCTTGGTGTCCACCCGTTGCTAGCTTATGCGGGCAACCCAGAGATGACTCAGAGTCCTGCCCACAGGGAACTTCTAGTTTGGAGGGGACATAGAGGCAGTCATGGTCAGTCTCATCCCTGGGTGATCACATGGCTCCTAAGAGCCTGAAGGAGGGAGAGGGACGCTTCCTGCCCTAAGCCCCTGCCCTGCTTCTCCTTTGATAGGTTCTCTGTGCGAGTGAACTCCACTGAGCTTTTCCATGTGGATCGGCGTGTGTGGACGACGCTGAAGGGGCGGGATGGGCTTCAGGGCCCAAGGGAGAGAGCTTTCCACACAGCCAGTGTTCTGGGCAACTACATGGTGGTCTATGGTGAGGAGGCTCCCCAATCCTGCCTGCCTGCCGAGGGCCTGAGCCAACCCTGAGCTGAGGCTCCCTGCATGGGAGTCCCCACCTCCACCAGGCTTGCCAGCTATGCCCCTTTCCTTCTTTCCCAGGGGGCAATGTGCACACTCATTACCAGGAGGAAAAGTGCTACGAAGATGGCATCTTCTTCTACCACCTTGGTTGCCATCAATGGGTGTCAGGAGCTGAGCTTGCCCCGCCAGGAACCCCTGAGGGTGAGTGGTCCCTGTTCTTCCCTAGGGACTCCCGAGGGTCCCACCTCCCTCCACAGTGATTCTGGATTCAAGCTACCTCAGTCTGTAAGGGTGAGCCTGACATCCAGGTCAGTTGGTGCCAGCCTCAGGAGGCAAGCCTGGGATGGAGATGGGACCAGGGCATCATCACTATGGAGATGGAGGCCCTTATGGCAATATCCAATGTGGGTTCCAATCCAGGTTTTGCCAGTTTCCAGCTGCCCCAGGGAAATGCCTAAGAGACAGCAACTTTTCCTTCTTTTTCATTTTCTTTTCTTTTTTTTTTTTTGAGATGGAGTCTTGCACCATCGTCCAGGCTAAAGTGCAGTAGCGTGATCTCAGCTCACTGTGACCTCTACCTCCTGGGTTCAAGCAATTCTCCTGTCTCAGCCTCCTGGGTAGCTGGGATTATAGGCATGCATCTCCATGCCTGACTAATTTTTTTGTATTTTTAGTAGAGACATTGTTTCATCATGTTGGCCAGGCTGGTCTCAAACTCCAGACCTCAAGTGATCCGCCTACCTTAGCCTCCCAAAGTACTGAGATTATGTGTGTGAGCCACCGTGCTCGGCTTTTTTAACTTTCAATTTAGGTTCAGCAGTACCTGTGCAGGTTTTTTATATAGGTAAATTGTGTGTCATGGGGATTTGGTGTACTGATTATTTCATCATCCAGGTATTAAGCCTAGTACCCAACAGGTAGTTTTTTCTTGTGTTTGTTTGTTTGTTTGTTTGTTTTGAGAAGGAGTCTTACTCTGTTACCCAGCTGGAGTGCAGTGGCGCAATCTCGGCTCACTGCAACCTCCACCTCCTGGGTTCAAGTGATCCTCCCGCCTCAGCCTCCTAAGTAGCTGGGAGTATAGGCGCATACCACACCCAGCTAATTTTTTTTTTATTTTTAGTAGAGATGAGGTTTCACCGTGTTGACCAGGCTGGTCTTGAACTCCTGACCTCAGGTGATCTGCCAGCCTCAGCCTTCCAGAGTGCTGGGATTACAGGCATGAGCCACCGCGCCCAGCCCCAGTAGGTAGTTTTTTGATCCTCTCCCTCCTCCAACCCTCAGGTAGGCCCCTCAAGAGTGTTGTTCCCTTCTTTGTGTCCATGTGCACTCGATGTTTGGCTCCCACTTGTGAGAACATGCAGTGTTTGGTTTTCTGTTCCTGTATTAGTCTGCTTAGGATAAGGGTCTCCAGCTCCATCCATGCTGATGGAAAGAACATGATCTCATTATTTTTTATAGCCACGTAGTATTCCACGATGTATATGTACCACATTTTCTTTTTTTTTTTCTTTCTATATATTTTTTTGAGATGGAGTTTCACTCTTGTTACCCAGGCTGGAGTTCAATGGCATGATCTCAGCTCACTGCAACCTCCACCTCCCAGGTTCAAGTGATTCTCCTACCTCAGCCTCCCGAGTAGATAGAATTACAGGCGCCCACCACCACACCTGGCTAATTTTTGTATTTTTAGTAGAGATGGGGTTTCACCATGTTGGCCAGGCTGGTATCAAACTCCTGACCTCAGGTGATCCACCCGCCTTGGCCTCCCAAATTGCTGATATTACAGGTGTGAGCCAATGCGCCCGGCCTCCATTTTCTTTATCCAGTCTATGACTGATGGGCATTTAGGTTGATTCCATGTCTTTGCTATTGTAAACAGTGCTGCGATGAACATGCACATGCATGTGTCTTTATGTTAGAACAATTTGTATTCCTTGGGGTATATACCCAGTAATGGGATTGGTGGGTCAAATGGTAATTCTGTTTTAAGTTATTTGAGAAATCTTCAAACTGCTTTCCACAATGCCTGAACTAATTTACATTCCCATCAGTAGTAGTAAGCATTCATTCCCTTTTCTCTGCAACCTCACTCACATGTGTTATTTTATTTATTTATTTATTTATTTATTTTGAGACGGAGTCTGGCCCTGTTGCCCAGGCTGGAGTGCAGTGGCACGATCCTGGCTCACTGCAAGCTCCACCTCCTGGGTTCACGCCATTCTCCTGCCTCAGGCTCCCGAGTAGCTGGAACTACAGGCGCCTGCCACCACGCCCAGCTAATTTTGTTTTTGTATTTTTAGTAGAGACGGGGTTTCACTGTGTTAGCCAGGATGGTCTCGATCTCCTGACTTCGTGATCCACCTGCCTCGGCCTCCCAAAGTGCTGGGATTACAGGTGTGAGCCACTGCGCCCAGCCGCATGTGTTATTTTTTGACTTTTTGATAATAGCTATTCTGACTGGTGTGAGATGGTATCTCACTGTGGTTTTGATTTGCATTTCTCTCATTATTAGTGATATTGAGCATTTTTTTCATATGCTTATTGGCCATGTGTATGTCTTCTTTTGAAAAATGTCTGTTCATGTCCTTTGTCTACTTTTTAATCAGATTGTTTTTTGCTTGTTAGTTTATTTAAATTCCTTATAGGTTTTGGATATTAGACTTTTGTTGGATGCGTAGTTTCCAAATATTTTCTCACGTTGTTTTTTTACTCTGTTGATAGTTGTTTGCTTACTCTGTTGATAGTTCTTTAGCAGCAACTTTTTCAAGATCACGGTAGATAAGTGACAGAGCCAGCATGGCTATCCCCAAACAACCACCTGTATAAAACTATCACTTAAGGCCGGGCGCGGTGGCTCACGCCTGTAATCCCGGCACTTTGGAACGCCATGGCGGGCAGATCATGAGGTCGGGAGATCGAGACCATCCTGGTTAACATGGTGAAACCCCATCTCTACTAAAAATACAAAAAAATTAGCC